TCCACAACAGTGACCCCTCCCTCCACTAACCCTAAAATTATTTCCTTGCTACTTCAGAACTGTAACTTTGCTACTGTTATGAATCGTACTGTAAACATCTGATAGGCAGAATATCTGATATTAAGGTTCAGTAAGGACTCACTGGTGAGGTGTCTCAGCATCCAGTCAAAGCTCTCAGCACCATCTGGGGATCAGGACTTCCACCCTGAACTGAAGACATTCTATACTAAGTACTGACAAGTGAGTTTGACCACTGTCTGATTGTTATGTGACCCTTGTACATACCTTTGTTTATCTTGGTGATTGTGCTGTCTCAGCACTGAGGTGACAAGAGCAGCAGTCGTCCCTTCTAAACTATGACCTGTCTGTCCTTAGGCCCTTGGACTGGACAGTGCCAATGAGAAAGGCTTGTACAGAAGGGGGGAAGCCCAGCTGCTCATGAACGAGTTTGAGTCCGCCAAAGGCGACTTTGAGAAAGTGCTGGCAGTCAATCCTCAGAACAAGGCCGCCCGGCTGCAGATCTCCATGTGCCAGAGGAAGGCGAAGGAGCACAACGAGCGAGACCGCAGGGTGTACGCCAACATGTTCACCAAGTTCGCCGAGCGGGACGCAAAGGTGTGAGCCACCAGAGCCGAGTGTGCCCACTGCCTCAGGGTGCAAGGACGCTAGCCTAGGGACAAGGTTGGGTTGCCGGGCTGGGAGAAAGAAGACTTAGGGAGAGACTCGGCTGTGGGTGGAGGCTCAGGTGGGGAGGCCCTGCCACGTCTGTGAGAACTGGGAGCCAACTCCCTGAGATGGTGCAGTGCTCTTGTTCTCTGTTCGTTCTTAAAACAGCATTTCTCTTTGTAGACTGGCTAGCTTCATCTCAGAGATCCTCCTGCCTCTGGCACATGAGGTTTAGGATTATAGGCATCTGCCACCAAACCAAGCTCGCTTGTTATTTAAAAAATAAGTAAATAAATTCAGCCAGGCAGTGGTGGCGCACACCTTTGATCTCAGCACTTAGGAAGCAGAGGCAGAGGTAGGCAGTTGTCTGAACTCAAGGCCAGCCTGGTCTACAGAACAAGTTCCAGGACACACAAACCCTGTCTGGGGAAAAAAAAAAATGACAACAAAAAAAACCCCTAAGCCCTTCAGTGTTGTTTTCCTAGTGATACTTCTTAGTTGAGTCCAGGTTGGATTGGAAACAGGTGTCCCTGCGGTGGCCTTTACTATATACTGTCATCCTGAGCCACTGTTGAAGGCAGTGGGTGTATCTGAACACAGGTCAGCTTCCTGCCCCACGGCCACCCTCTGGTCCCAGGTCCGTCCTCCATCTCCAGCTACCAGTAGCACAAGGACTTACTCAACAGCTGGCAGAGGTAGCCGGCTCTTCCACTGCATGCCACCCCAACTTCCCTAGTACACCCCAGATACAAGCATACACACTTGCTGTAGACCTGATAAAACCATCTCGGGAAGGCAGGGGTTAATAACTTCACCTCCTTTAACCCTCAGGAGGAAGCCAGCAAAGCAGTGAGCAAGAAGGCCGCAGAAGGAGCTGCTGGGAAAGCATCCGAGAGTCAGGCCATGGAGGAAGGAAAGGCCAGAGGGCACGTATGACGTCACGCCAAGGAGGGAAGAGAGTCCTAATGAACTCGGCCCTCCTCGCTGGGCTCGCCCCCAACTCAGGACTGAACAGCGTTTAGTGTAAGGTTTGTTACAGTCTCTGTGATTCTGGAAGCAAATGGCAATACCAGTAGCTTCCCAAATAACCACCTGCTGCTGCCGGGGGGTGGGGAGGGGGGGACATGCCAGGGAAACAGAGCAAAGGAGGCCATTGGTGTGGAGAGACCAAGCCAGCAGCTCAGTCCAGCCCATTTCAGTTTGTCACCCTTCAGTGTCCAGCACAGCGTCCCTTGCCATCCTAGGGCCCAGCTGCTGTGGGTTCTACATCTGCACTGTGGTCGCACTGCGGAAGCCGTTGATAAACCAGACTCAGCGGATCTCTGCTTTCCTATTGGTGGGCATGGCAGGGCCGGTGAAGAGATTTCTTTAGCACTGACTCGCCTGCTAAGAACACAAGCCCACAGCACGGGGCTCCCTGGTCCACAGCTGGGTCTCAGGCCACTTGCCTGCCTTCCAAGTCCCCTCTCAGACTCTCGAGTGTGACCTTCTGTCCTAGCCAGCATGTCCCACGGACTCTGTCGGTCCTCCAACACCCTCCATTAGTGACAGCAGGTGGCAGTCTCCCGGGTGGCTCTCTCTATTTGGGGTGAATTTCTGAGGTGAGGAGAGCGGTCAGAAGTGGGCTTGTCTTCTTCCTCACTGTTCATCCCTCTCAAGAATGATGTTAGCGCTCAGCCCTCCATGCTGGCCGCGGCTGCTCAGCCTCGTGTCCCATTCTCTGCCTGGCTGTGAAGAGCCCAAGGCTTGCTCTTGCCCTAGACCTAGAGTGGACGGACTTCGTAGGACTTCCTCAGCCCCGATTGCTGAGTTGCTCTTTTTTTATTATTGTTGTTATGGTTACCCACGTGTAAGCGTGCATACTGCTTTTTGGAAGGAACTTCACACTCCTCTATCATGCAAAATTATTTTTCAAGTTTTACTTCTTAGCTTGGATTTC